TATAGATGTTTAACTAGAGATAGGTATTTGGTTTGTTTCCGGTCTTTCTGTTAAACAGGACTATGTTGAATAGCCCTGCGCTATGTCATTTCTCCCCTGGAGAGTAGTTTATATGTGGAAGGAAGTCCTAGAAGTGTGATTGCTCAGTGTGTGTATGTAAAATTTTGAGTTACAGCCAGATTCTTCCCCACAGAGCCTGATTCTCCACTCTTTTCAACCTGGAGTGTCATCAAATTATTTATTCTTTGGCAATATTTTGCTATTGCAAGATAAAAATTGGTACCTCCATGAAGAATTGCATTTCTCTTTGGTAACCTTGGACACCTTTTCACTTCTGAAAAAGCCATTTGAATTTCTCTCCGTATGAACTGTTTATTCACATCCTGTAGCCATTTCTCTCTTTGGCTTTTGTTTTCTTTTTGCTATTATGATGTTAAGCTTTTGATCATTCTATGTCCTGATTTCCTGCAGTTTTTGGTGGTTAGTGGATCTATAGGCAAAAATTCAGAGCCCAGCTAAAGGGACGGGCAGGGTCAAAGTACTTCCTTGCCGGGTGGTAATGACCAAAAGGACTTGGTGGCTGCAGGAACACTCTGAGCATCGTGTAGCAGTTTTCAGATGTATGATGATGCATTTACCAGACTGGTTGGTTGGTGAGTTTTGAGCCATGTGTGGCTCATGTTAAGCACGTCTCTGGACATGTGGCTTGATGGTTTTGTTGACACAACCTTGGTTTAGTTATTGTTGAAGCTTTTAACTAAAGGCCATGGTAATGAAGTTCCTCCCCAACCCCAGCCCCCACTGGTATATTTATTATTTCTTTTCTTTGTCAATATTTCCACTCTAAAAAACGAGACAAGATGCTTCTTTCTTTAATAAATTAGCTTTGTCTTCCAAGAGTCTAGTAAAGTCTTCTGTTCCAAGTGGCTTTTTAATAATCAATTTAATCAAAAACAATTTTAACAAAAAAAACCCAATTTAATCAAAAAAATGCCTCCAGGTGCTATTTTGCTATCTTTCCTCAAGGTGTGCACATTAGCGCAGCATCTCTCAAATTGTATGAATAAGTGTCATGTAATTGCTTCAAAAAATACCTGTGGTCATGTTAATTTTGAAAAGGCTGAGATTAAATAAGTAAGTTTCTTTACCATAGGACTTTTCAGAGACCTAAATGTATCAGCAAGTTCATTGAATGTCCAAGGTAGAGGTGTGGATTTAGCAAATGGATTTGACCACAGAACAGCATTTTCACAATTTTTTGTAGTCTCTGATTGAAATACTAGTCAAACAATTAGCTCCAATCTCAGAGAAGAATTAGAAGACTTCAATTTACTTGCCCCATTGATTTGTCTGAATTAGGCCAAATAAGAATCCTTAACTAGAAATAGGATTATTGACTATGTGGCTGCAATCAGATTTGTGAAATTAAGTGAAAACATTTTTGTGGTTAAATCCCAGATAAGATGCACTGATTACTTTCTCCGGGCACCCTAAGGTGTTATCAAGCATGTGAAATTAAGACATCAAGGTTACTGCTGGTAACACCATGGCTGCTCCTGCTTGAGGTCAGAAACCACCCTCTAGTCGAAGCATCCAAATCAGCCTGGGCTGGGAATGAGGGGCAGTGCTGGGAGCAGATAAAGTAACCAGCTGAGGGTTTAATGACCAAGCAAACCCAAAGAGTCAGGTGAGGGAACCAAAGGAAAGGTGGGAAAGCTTATTATATCCAGGTCATTAACAGGGTGGCTTAGTCTCTCCTCCTGAGTATTTCTAAGACTGATTCTTTTAACCCTTATCACTGAACCCTTTTTTCTCTTTTCCAGAGCAGAAAATCTCGTCTGATTTTCTTCCTCAGCCTTCTTGAAACTTAGAAGGGTATTCTCAGAGTGTTCTAGAACACTGGCGGCCGGGATGTGTCATAAGTCATTTGTGAACTCAACTCAGCCACCGAAAGCACATGCATTTTAAAACTACCATAAAATAGATTAGATTCAAGATTGCCCTACGAAATGCCTTTTTTTAACCCACTTTCCCTTAGAGCTCTTCTTTGAATGGGAAAGAAATGTTCTGATTTCAGACGTTATTACAGTGCTCACAAGCTGTTTTATAGTTCCATTTCCATTTTCCCAATTGATAAAATTGCACTTGAGCTAGAAAGATGCCAGGAAGATTTCCATTTGTCATAACACAACAGTGATGATTACCCTATAAATGGCAGCCGAAATGATTTGAGAAAAGTGTTCAGTAATGGTATTGTGGTTTTAAAAAAGAATCAGATTAATTATTTGCGGTTTTCAGTAGTCCACACTTGATCCTCTTGCAATATTATCTGTATTTCCTAGAGAGTAGGAGTTAAAAAATGAATCATTTAAAAAGTTGAAATGAAATATTTTCAAAGGTATGATGGTTTATTTTTATAATAGTCATAAGACTGATCATTTTATAATTCCTTACTTGTAAATGTTCTTTAATATATTCTCTTTTCCAAAAATGATTGTGCCCCATGAGTTGTCAGTGTTCTGCATTCATGTTCATGAAGAACTCAGTGCTCAGAGGGGTTTCCTCAGGATTTCTTCCTAACTGAAGGCATCCTTGTCTTGAGCCCTAGTGACAGTAGTATGCTGCGCCTTCCTGTTAGGAGATAGCACACCCATGTACTGGGGCAGCAATGGAAGGGTGATCCTGTCCTTGTAAGCCACCTTCCCAAATCAGCACTTGCTGGCAAGAGCGAGACTCATCATGGTTTGGAGCTTGAGTCACAATGGGAACCTTAATCAGCGTGGCAAGGTGGATAGGCAGGCTGCATGTGAAACTCAGATTGCTGGAGTTTGAATTTATTTCTCTGCCACTGATCACCTTGCTGATCCTGCTTGTGCCCCAGTTACCTCAGCTGTAAATTGAGATGCTGACTATGTGGCATGACTCCTGGCATATAATAACCACTGAACATATCAGCTATAGAGCTAGTATATGTCATGGGACAGTACAAGGCAAGGGAATATGGACAAAGACAAAAGAGAGGAGTGAAATCTCTTTCCCAGGGGGCACAGCCTGACTGGCAAGCCAATAATCTTCGTATTGGAGGAGTCCTTTGGCCTCAATTCCCACTAGGTACTGGTCTCCACTGGTAGGTCACCCATTGTCATAGAAAGAGAGAAACTGTTCACCATTTATAAATTTTTCTTTTCCTTTTCATTCAGAAGGTATTTTGGGTGCCACTCTGTGGAACCATATGGAGGACTTGTGGGGGATATAACAAGCTTGACATGTTTCAGTCTCCCCCTAAAACCCACCTAGGGAGGGGAGGCATTGCTGGCATCTGTGGCCAAGGTGTGGAGCATTAGTAGTCCTTGCTGTGCCTCTGACTAGCTTGGCCGGGACATAGGGTAGGTGTGAGGGAGCCCAACTGACCTCTGTCCATCCTTGTAGGAACGTACTCACTTAAATAAGCGTGTAACTCCTCCTCATGGTTAGGGTCAATCTCATTCTGGGGGCTGGGGTGTGCCCTGTGCAGAGACAGGATAAAGATGTGTGCGTGTGTGTGTGTGTGTGTGTGTGTGTGTGTGTGTGTGTGTGTGTGTTGGGGGTAGCAGAGGCAAGGGACAGGCCACAAAGGCTGTAAAGGATAAGACCTGCCCAGAATGGGATGGGTAGTTGGTCACTCTCTCCAGTTCCTGATTTTCAGGAACCAAAGACAGAGGCAGAGCTGTCATAGACAGCTGAGAGTGAACAGTACAGTGGCTTCTTCAGTATGCCCGGAGGGTGTGGCTATCCAAGAGGACTATATTGCAGTCACACTGCCATCAATGTTTTTGAGCGGCTTTATCTGGGTTGGCAAAAGAACAGATGTGATCAGAGTGCACAACCAAGTCCTCAAGGAGACCCTGAACTGTGCTTTCACCACTGGACATCACACCTTTGCCCCATGCCACCACAGGCTATGAAGAACATCCTGAGCTTGCCATGCTACCAGGGGAGGCAGCACAGGTCTACAACAGCCTTGTGGCTTGTTGTTTAGGAGTCCGGTTGGCTGTAGGATTGGAGGAAAGGAGAGGTGATCAGTGAACAGGGAGGCTCTGCACACATAAGATGCTTTGCAGAGTTCAGAATTAGTCTACTACACAGGAGAGGACATCTTCTGCTGACTGGGGAAAGCCACGGAGGAAGAGTCAGGTTAGCAAGAGTAGCATGGTGGACAGAGGTAGGGAGAAATATTTAATGAGGCACCTGTTGGATGAGAAATATCCACAACAGCAGAGAAGCTGGGAACTTTCTAAAGTTCCCTAGAATTTAGACATGGCGATGGTATGGGTGGAGTTTACTCAATGGCATGATGTGCTGTTAAGTTTGTGAAATGAACTTGGAAAGATGACAGGCATTGGTCATCAGGGTAAGGCAGTGCACAACACTGACCTATAATCTGGACTCAGAAGTGTTCAATTAGTTGATGATATACTTCTTTGATTTATTCATTCACTAAAAATTCAGTGTAATGTAAATTTTATAAACCAAGTCAATGAGATTGAAAAAATAATTTAACTCAAGTTAACTGACCTCTTAGATTCTGGTGTTTTTGTTTGGGCCATGTTTAGATAAGGATTGCTCTTGTTGAGTTCTGTGAAGAACTGGTCAAGTCATAACATGGTTGTGAGTTTGACAGGTCTGCCATAACAGAGTACCACCAACTGGGTGGTTTAAACATTCAAAAGGTATTCTCTCACAGTTCTGGAGGCTGCGAGTCTGAGATCAAGGTGTCGACAGGTGTGATTCCTTCTGAGGGAGTGAGAACAGAGTCCCTTCCGGGCCACTCTTCTTGACTTGTAGATGACCACCTCCTCCGAGTGACCTTATATCATTGTCTTATCCCTGAGTCCTAATTCCCCTTTTTAATAAGGACATTAGTTCTATTGGATTAGGACTCACTTGGATGATTTCACTTCAATTTGATTCAAACTACAATAGCTCTGCTTTCTACTTATATACTTTTTTCTCTTTTAAAGATTGTACATGGCAAGTCAAAGCAAATGATCGAAAGTTCCATGAACAACATCATTTTATGAACACTAAGTTCTTTTGTATTAAGAAGAGCAAATATGCGGTAAGTTGACTCCTAAATTACTTTTATTGAAGCCCCATTTTATCCAGTCACTGTCATGTTTGCCTGCTTCGTGCTACACCTGCTTTCTAGGTAGTAACAAGCCTAAGGCTCTTGCTAATTTTTGTTCTTTAGAATGTCATTTTTATTGAAGTTTAATGACCTCTAAGGTGGGTGTGGGTGACTTGAAACAAAACTAAACATTATATAGACTGAAACTTTCCCTAGGTATATTCCAAGCTCTCTTTAAAGTACTTTATGAAAGAGTATAGTATATTGTCACAGAAGCCTTATGCTTAGAAGTAACAAGTTTGAAATGAATTTTAGTAAGTTTTCTTTCCTTCCTCTGCCTAGAATAGATTTAGAAACTTTAAGGATAGCTGGGGATTTAGCTCAGTGGTGCTGCCACCTGCTTTACAAGTGCAAGGTCCTGAGTTCGATCCCCAGTACCAAAAAAAAAAAAGAAGGAAACTTTAAGGATATTTTCACCTTAAACCAATGCAGTGGCATACACCTGTAATCCCAGTTACTCAGAAGGCTGAGACAGGAGAATCGAGAGTCAAGGCCAGTCTGGGCCACATAGAGAGACTCCTTGTCAAAACAAAGATATTTTTACCTAAAACATTGCTTGTATTTGAAATCTGATAAAGAGTATCTGTCAAATATGCACTTAAATTTTATAAAGTGGCCAGGTATCGTGGTGCATGCCTATAATCCTGGCACTCTGGAAGGCTGAGGCAGGAAGATCACAAATTCAAGCCCACCCTGGGCAACTTAATGACCTAACAAGACCCCGTCTCAAAAAAGTAAAAGGAATGAGAATGTAGTTCAGTGTGAAGGCCTTGAGGTCAATCTCCAGTACTCCAGAAAAAGAAAAGAAGTGTTTTAAAGTGTCTGTTTTCTTCTTAGGACTGCTGCTGTAACAAAGTGAAAAAACTGAGGGGCTTAGAAAAACAGAAATTTACAGTGTGGGGGGCCAGAAGTTCAAATTCAAGGTGTCAGTAGAGTTAGTTCTTTATAGAGAATCTGAGAATTCCAGGCCCTTCCCAGCTTCTGGTGGTTGCCCACAGTTTTTGGTATTCCTTGGTCTACAGACACATCACTCCAGCCTCTGCCCCCACCTTTAAGTAGCATTCTCCCTGTGTCCAATTTTCCCCCATTTTATAAAGATACCAGTCAACCGCTGGTCTAGTATGACTTCATCTTGATTATGTCTGCAAAGAGCCTATTTCCAAATAAGATCCCATCCACAGATATTGAGCTTAGGTCTTGAGTGTATCTTTTGGGGGACACGACTCAATCCACAAGGGTGCCTTTTAGTCTCTTGCTGTACACAAGCCTCTGTCCCCCTTGAATTGACCTGTTTCTTTCCTGCTTTGCTCATGTTGACATCTGCCTTTGCCCATTTTCTAACAGGCTCTATAACGGATCAAGGCATCTGACAGCAGGATCCATGAGGTCACAGTCTGATGTCTGTATCTTGTTACTCTCTCTGACATAAGATTCCATGTAGTCATTTCTGAGCCCTGGCTAGAATTAAAAGCTTAAAAGAAATCTCAGTATCTTTCTGACTGATGGATCATGGCCCTGGGTCACTGTAGATCATGGGACATGGTAATGTTTGCGGGTGTGTATACTTGATGCATGAATGACTTTCTTATTTTTTCCAACAGAATAATGCAATTAAAACATACAAGTACAATGCATTTACCTTTCTACCAATGAATTTGTTTGAGCAGTTTAAGAGAGCAGCCAATTTCTATTTCCTGATCCTTCTTATCTTACAGGTAATGCTCTGTGGTATCTTAAATCTGTTGTGAATTCTGACAGTGCAGTAATACCTAATGTGTGGTGATACAGTGTGGATAATTTTGAAAGTGTCTCATATTAATGTCAGGTTTTTCTACCTAAGGGATCATTGCCTCCTGCACAGAACAGGCTCAATTTGTATTTGAACAGGGAAAAAGAACAAAGAAAAATATGATTTTATTTTTTAAAGTTAAATTTTGAACAGATGAGAGTGCTCAAACTGGTAACCCTGAAGTGAATAAAAATATAATCTTCACTTTAGAATTATTTGTACTTTAAAATTAAATCTATTTTTATGCTTATCTTTTTAAATTTAGTTGCCTGATTTCCAGAAGAGTGTTACTGATTTTTATTAATACTTTAGTCATAAAGTTTATGTTATTCTGTGAAGTGCTTTTACATTAGAAAAGACTTTTTCTGATTTAAAAAAATTGTGGCAAAGAGATTCCCTTATCTGGATAGCAAGACTTTTTTATGTGTAGGAACAGTTGCTATAATCAACTCATTTCACTCAGCATTCAGAGTCAACCTTTAGCACCTGACAAGCTGGTTACAAAGACAGTGTTATCTGCTTTGCTGCGTAAAGGGCTGGATTTGGAAAACAGTCCCACTGCTGGGATTCTCCCACTAATACTATAAAATGGTAGCACGTGTGTCTTGGTGGGGACGGAAGCTGCACTGAGTGGAGAGAAGAGGAAAGGGAGACACTAGGAGGAAGTGGTTACTAGCAGATTTGGTGGAACATAAGCTCTGGTGACTTAGAGCTGGGGATGTAGCTCAGTGATATGGTACTTGCCTAGCATGCGCAAGGCTCGGGGTTCAATACCCAGAACCACAAGGAAAGGCCTGTCTTGATTGTAAAGGATGGTCCTACTGTGAAGGGTGGATGTTTAGACAGAGGTGAACCATACAAGTAATAAGGTGCTGCTATGTGGTCAGTGTGCTACTATTCCTTTACTTCCTTCTAGAAGGGAAAAAGAAAGATTCACATATTCACAATTTTGTGGGAAAGGGTCTTTCTTCCAACCACACCCCAATTACCTTCTATTAAGGCGCAGGGATCCAAATTAGGCTAACAGCAGTAGCCTTAGACAAACAGCCCTTTACTTACACTGTTACTTCACTTAGTTCTTAAACTCTGTGAGGTAAGGATCAGCATAACCTCTGTTTTGCAGAGATCTGAGGCCAGGTGAGATAAATACAAAGTAACATTGCTTAAAGTCCCAAAGCCTATGTGTATAGAGCTGGACAGGGCTGGATCCAGTTCAGCTTCAAAGAACCACCACATAATGTGACCTAGTGATTGACAGGATGATTATGAAAGATCAAAATGAGATTTGCTTCCCAATCTTCTATTCAAATTGGGAGGTTGGGTTGATGGAGGTGGAGCCTTTTGTAAGGCCACCTGCGTTTTTGGCTGGACCAGTAGCAATAGTCATGAAAGGATTACTTTCTTCAAGTGTCCCAAAGATAGTCTACCAGGTCACTCACTAGCTGATGGAGATAGCCATCTGCTGCCATCTTTGCCTGTGCCACAAGACTCTCAGAAATCATTGCCTCTGAGCAACCTTCTGAGAGAAAGCTATGTGCCTTTCCTAAAAATTTAGGACTACTTTCCCCCTACCCCAGTCTACCCCCCACTTCAGTTAATTATGATTTTCACAAAAAGTGCTGAGCAGTTCTCTTTTAGGTTACAAAAGATCTCTTTTATCATGTTACAAAACCTCCTTGGTATCCAGTTAAAGTCACAATGAGATAATTTCAGAACCACTGACCATGGCCAGGATCTGTTCCATGTGTCCAGAAGCTAGAGAAGCAGGTTGGCTGGATGCTTAAATGCCTTTTCCTATATGGATTTCAGGTGCAGATTTGTGTGGTGATGGAAATTAGAATTAGCAAGCTTAGAGTCAGCAGCCTACTTCCTGTAAGTTAGCTGTGCCTTCACAGGTACTTCACATAAGCCTTTTTATTTCTGTTAGGCAATTCCTGAAATATCTACCCTGGCATGGTACACCACACTCTTCCCCCTACTTCTGGTGCTGGGCATCACTGCTGTCAAAGACCTGGTGGATGATGTGGTAAGGATTTCTCATGCAACTAACTGTACAACTTTGTACTTGACCATCTTTAATTTGGCATTAGTACTTACGTGATGAGGTGATTAAAATATTTCTTCATTTTTCTTCTAAAGGCTCGGCATAAAATGGATAAGGAAATCAACAATAGAACATGTGAAGTCATTAAGGATGGCAGGTATGTTGCCTCCTTCAATTTGTAATTTAGTTACAAAGACATAATATATGCATTTGTCTAGAAACATAGTCATTACTAAATTTTTTAATTGTCAAGACATCTCTTAACTTGCAGAGACACTGCATGGGCTTTGCTGCTCCGAGGTCATACAACCCAAATTGGACTATGTGCAGTTGCCAACTGGCCTTTGTGTTTCCAGCACATCTGGCATTTACATGGCTCCTTCAGCCTCCGATGAGCTGCATCCACCTCTGCTCTTCTCAAACTTGTCCCCTTCAGGGGTTTGCTTGTGTAGGATGTCTTGACACCTTCATGACCTACCAGCAAAAGTGATTTCTCTCTTCTCTGCCCTTGAAGAGCATTTTAGCTTTTTTAATTATGATATGAATTGTATTAGAATTATTTTTGTATCTCTCCTTCTGAACTGTACTGTAAGTTTCTCGAGGATGTTGTCCTATCTGAAACACACAAGAAGTGCTCAATAAATGTTTGTTCAACAAATGTAGTCAGCTGTGACCAAAGTTCCAACTCAGGGATCAGCAGTGAGTTGTTTTTTGAGTGAGAGCCTCAAGGCAGAACTACAAATTCAAGTCCTAAAAATAGGGACTAAGACCCAAGTCAAAGAATTTTTAATGTGTTGATATTGAAGCAAATAAGCTGATTTATGATAATATCTCTACTGTATTTAATTAAAAATAGACACCCCTAAGCCATAAATATGTTAACATAGTTTTTCTTCTTGCAATAGATGGATTTCAGTTAGAAATGTAAATGGGTATTTCCTATGAAGTTTAACACCAAAGATAGTCATCTTTCATTTCACTGATATTCTTATTACTTTTATTATAAAATCCAGGCATAGTCATTAAGAATATGAACAATAGAGAGGAGACCATCTCTGAAGCCCATGAGGGTTCTTGTGGCCCACAGGAAGCTATAATGTGTTTTTGTCCTGGGCACTGAGCAAGTGGTGGATGGCTGAGAAGGAAGAGAGGAGTGAAGGGAAGCAAGACATGAGCAAAAACAAAGGGAGTGGCACCATCTCCCTGCCACTTATTGGAATAGCCCCAGTGGCCACTTCCTTATGTGAGGTCAGGTAGGAAGAACACATCAAAGCCATCACACTGCTGTTGTTTCCTCCATATATGGTTACATCATTAAAAGGGTGGACCTTAGTAAACATTTCCCCTGTGATTTACACATTTTCCAGAATCTTTGACATCCAGAAAGAATGAGAATTCCCCTGCTTGGAACTTAAAACCCAATAAACTCTCATTATTTTTAATACTTAGGTTCAAAATTACCAAGTGGAAAGATATTCAAGTTGGAGATGTTATTCGTCTGAAGAAAAATGATTTTGTTCCAGTAAGTGAAAGCGTTCTATCTTTCCCATTCCTATCCTCCCGGCCTGCACTTGGGTCACCCCGAAGCTCTGTGTCATAGGTGCCTTTTGTTTTGTACAGGCGGACATTCTGTTGCTATCCAGCTCTGAGCCTAATAGCCTCTGCTATGTGGAAACAGCTGAGCTTGATGGGTGAGTGTGTCTCAGATAGGCCCATTTCAACACTGGTGTTGCAGGGATGTGCACTCCCCTGGTGTCTGTGTTCTCCAGCAGGAAACCTCAAGATCTGGCCCTGCCTCTGCCGCTGGCACTCTTGACAGTGACCTGAGTAAACTGGCCTCTTTTTCCCCCATTACAGATGTTTGCCCTGCTGGATTTCAGTCTTGCTTCCCCATTGGTTTCTATCCTTCCATTCTTCCCTTTTGAAATGGGTATGTTTACCTGTGCCATTGTGTGTCCACAGTGTTTAATTCTTTCTGACTTTTATAGGAACTTCCAGTTAAAAGTTTACCTTAAATCTCAGAGTAGACTTTGGATCTGGATTTTTTTCAGCAATGCTGAAACTTTTAAGACTTTGGCAACTCTTAGAGATACACTGAATGCGTTTTGCATGAAAGGATGCACATGAATTTCTTAGGAACCAGAGGCAGAATGTTACGATTTAGATCTAGTTGTTTCCCCAAAGCCCTTTGTGCTAGTAGGTGGGGCATTTGGGAGGTGATTGAATCATGCGGTCTTGATAATTATCAATGGACTAGTCCCCTGACGAGTTTATAGCTGATTTGCTGTTAGGAGGTGGAATCTGATCAGAAGAGAGGGGATAGTAGGGTGGGACCTAGAAGGGCTTACCTCTTCCTACTCCTCCCTACACATTCTTTCTACTTCCTGCTACCATGCCATGAGCAGCTCTCCTCTACCATCCCCTCTGCCACGCCACCCTGCCTTGGAGGCAGTGGACTATGGACTGAAACCTCTACAGACTGAGTCAAAACAAACCAAAGTAAACCTCTCCTCCTTTAAGTTCTGGGTATCAGGTATTGTGTCACAGTCATCTAAGACAGATCTTAGTTACTTTCTTTGTCACTGTGACACAGTACTCACACCACAATTTAAAAGAGCAGAGGCTTACTTTGGCTCATAGTCTGTAGAGGTTTCCGTCCATAGTCCGCTGGCTCCAAGGCAGGGCGGCATGGCAGAGGGGATGGCAGAGGGGAGCTGCTCGTGGCATGGCAGCAGGAAGCAGAGAGAATGTGTATGGAGGAGTAGGGAAGAAATAAATACTTCCAGACCATATCCTCAGGCCCCAGTGACCCACCTCTTCCAAACAGATCCCATCTCCTAACATCAAGTCAGCTATAAACTTATCAGTGGACTAATCCACTGATGATTGTCAAAACCCCATGATCCAGTCACTCCCTAAATGCCCCACCTATGAGTGCATGAGGGTTTGTGGGGATGTCTAGATCTAAACCATAACCTTCTGCCCATGGCCTCCAAAAGACTCATCTGCATCCCTTTATATAGAAGGCATTTACTCCATCTCTAAGAGTTGCCAAAGTCCTAACAATTTCAGCATTGCTGAAAAATCTAAGTCCAAAGTCTCCTCTGAGATTTATGGCCTCTCCCAGAATTCTCAAGCCTTGCCTTTCGCCACCCCTCAGGGAAGGTAAAGGCCCAAATGGGAAATAGATGCTCAGGCCCTTTAGAAACTGCCAAGGAGTTTTGAGAACAGGAATGACTATGGATATTATCTCATTCAGAGAAGAGATTAGGGTTTTTAAGTCTTTACCAGTAAGCAATTTTAAATTTTCCCTTTGTTGGTTTTAGCTATCCTACCAAAACTTAAAAGAGAATAAGGTTCTGGTTTTGACCAGTTTTCAGTGCATTTATTGAATGCTTACAAGGTTGCAGGCACATTATATTTAGCTCATTTTTAACAACTAGGGCCAGGGATTTAGCTCAGTGGCGTGGTGCCTGCCTGGCAAGCTCTTGAGTTCAATTCCCCGTACTGAAAAAAAAGAAAGACTTTTAACACCTCAGTGTGATGAGCGTTATTCTTCCCCGTGTATTGCCCATGAGGAGACCAAGGCCCAGAGAGATGAAGTAGCCTGCTCATGGCCACAGAGTAAGTGGCAGTAGGGACCCCGCTTCCTGTGCTCCTTGTTCCTTACGTCCCAAAGCTGCTTTCACTACTTCAGAGAGCTAAAATCATGTGAGTGAAAAACCTTGGCCTTTCCTTGCCCTGTGAGTGAGTTAGCTGACAATTCAATCTCAGCAATGAAATAACTATTAATCTCACTGGTGGGATATTCGAAAGGCTAATGAAGATAGGAAGTCTTAATAGGCCCTGCCAGAACAGAGTGGTGGAGCTGGGTACCACTGGTCAGTTTCCTGATAGGTGGACATTCCTGAGCGGGTATCTGAGAGGTCTGTGAGGGGCCATCCATGGTGACCAGGCAGCCTTGCTCTCAAGAGTGCACGTCCTGGTCTGTCTCCATGTGTCACGCACAGTGACCTTCCCTTGCACGAGGGTTGGGACAGGCCAGGTATTGGAGGTGAGACTGTCACCTCCTTTCCTAAATCCAATTATTCATTCTAGAAAATAAGTCAGCAGAAGTTAAACAGAACACCTACAACAAGAGGTTTTTTTCCTTCCTTTTTTTATTAGTATGTTCACAATAAATAGTAAATGCATTCATCATGGGGAATTGGTACATATAGAACAATTTTGTTTTAATCATCTTAGTATGCTGAAATATTAGAAGCTACATTTCCCAACAGCAGTTTGGTGAACAGGTAAAAAGAAGGAGATGAGAAGTTAATGAGGATGTTGTGGCTGTCTTGTCCTAAGTGTCACCATAGCAAACAGCAAAGGTGACCAGCATTTCCCAGGTCAAGGATTCTTCTCTAGTTTAGAGGGTAACCTCATCCAAACTTAAAGTTTCAAGATAGACAACAAGTATAAAAATAGAACAAGTTAAGGGCTGAGGACGTAGCTCAGTGGTAGAGCCCTTGCCTAACATGTATAAGACTAAGTTCAATCTCCAGAACTGAAAACAACAAAAAAAGAACAAGCTAATGATTTAGCCTTCATTTCTAGGTAAACTTAATGTTATCTTGTGTGTGCTATTTATCTTCCTCTTTGAAGTATAAAATGTGCTCATGCAATTACTTTTCCCCTCCCTTTAGAGAAACCAATTTAAAGTTCAAAATGGCACTTGAAATCACAGACCAATGTCTTCAAAGGGAGGATAACTTGGCAACGTTTGATGGTTTGTACAAAACACGTCCTACTTTATTTTAAGTTTTAGTTGCTTGATTTGGTCTATGAATTAAAGCCAGAAAATCCTTCCTATGTGATTAATAATGTAAATCATATCTTTCCTAAAGGTTTTATTGAATGTGAAGAACCCAACAACCGACTAGATAAGTTTACAGGAACACTATTTTGGAGAAACAAAAGGTTTTCTTTGGATGCTGATAAAATTTTGTTACGTGGTTGTGTAATTAGGAACACCAATATCTGCCATGGATTGGTCATTTTTGCAGGTACTTTGAGATTTTCTTAGGAAATTGATCTGCTATGAGCTCTTAAGATTTAAAGGAAGAAATTGCTTTTCTGTCCTTTTTTCATCAAAACCAAAGGAAGAGTAATTATATTGACATGCTAGTTAATTGATTTACCCAATTGTTGATCATATTGAATTTTCCATTTTTAGGTGCTGACACTAAGATAATGAAGAATAGTGGGAAAACCAGATTTAAAAGAACTAAAATTGATTATTTGATGAACTACATGGTTTACACGGTATTTATTTTCCATTTCAGTAGATGAAAAGCTAGACTATTGTCTTTAGCTCTAATTTTGTTATATATTTCTCTAGTGCAAAAAAAAAAAAATTACTTCTTTAGATGGGGTAGAAAAATCTCAGGTAAGCTCAGTGAATCTAGGCTCCTAAAGGCAGAGCAGCGTTGATTTTACTGGTATCAGTTTCCCATATGGGAGCTCCTCTTAAAAACAAACTTTTTTTCTCCAACATATACTGTATAAATTCAAATACAAGGCAAGACTAAAAATAAGGTGTGTCAAGCGTCTTCAGGCCACACCCAGGTTCAGTGATGGACTAGGAGGACCCATAAGATTTACTTTACAGTTGGCCTCATGGCTATGACTTATTACAGGAAAATGATACAAATCAAGATGAGCAAAAGACTCATAGGGCAAAGTCCAGAGGAAATCAGGCACAGGCTCCCAGTGAATTCTCTCCCAGTGAAGTCACACACAACAGGCATTTAATGCCCCCCAGCAATGATTTGTGACAGCACATGTGAAATGTTGTCTTCCAGGGAAGCTCAATAGACTCTCACCCAGGAGTTTTAACTGGAGACTGGTCATGTAGGCACCATCTGCCTGGCGTGCACCGAAACTCAAGACTTCCTGAAGGAAAGCAGGTTGTCAGCATAACCCATGCTGCCTGCACAGCCAGGCGCAGTGAATTGTTCTTATCAGAGAGTAAGAAATAAGGAATCAGAAAACCCCCCTAAAATTAAAGTTTCCAGATGCCAACCAAAGGCCAACCTTGGAAGAAGGCCTTGTGAGGAGTGCAGTCTCAGTTCTGCTGTGTTAGCTCTTTTCTTTTTTTATGGTGAGCCCATACATTAAGCAGATCTCCAACTTCCTAATGAGAATTATTTCTCAAATTTTTAGTTCAATTTGAATATATAACCTCTTAGGGACTTATAATAAGTAAAATGCTTTATTGTAGATACATATTGAAAGTCACATAAAAGTAATATAATAATTTAAGGAAAACTCTTTTTCTTCTCCTCTCGTATTTAATGAAAAATTTCCTTGAACTTGACGTGTTCATCTTCACTGTAACCATGGTGATCATGACTACAGCCCTCACAAAGAGCCCATCGTGTCTCCCCTGTGCCAAGTTGTTTTGACACATAGCACTTTTGAAATAAAATACATGTCCAAAAATTTAGTTTTGTCTGTGGAAATTTTATTTCCACTTGCAAATAATGTACACAAATACAACTAGGATGGGTGGCTTTTTAATTTATCCCATAAGTATACAGTCATCATTTCCACGACTTAGGGCTTACTGTATTGCTTCTCAGGTGATCTTATTTATAATACCTTGTAGTCTTTATGATACTGTACCTTCAGAAATAATTACCCAAATGTGTGTGATGGTTCTATTTAAAAAAAAAATTTCCACCCAATATTTTTTATAAGTAGCTCGATTTAGCATTGTTTGAAGTTGTTTCATGCTAGGGAAAGCTATCTTCCCAAACAATATGTTATTTTTCAAGGTAAAAACAGTTCAGAGAATATCCTGTAGTATGAAAGTGTTTAAGGATTTGAATGTAAGATACTACCTTCTTTATTAAAAGGTAATTCTGGGAACAAAACCACCATATATATAGAATATAGAATAAAGCAATCAATCATAACCATCAAATAGACTTTCAAAGCATTCTTATGATACTATCTTAAGTACATTAATTTTACAGACTATTAAATTATCATAAACAATCATAAAGTTTAAATAAGGTTAATTAGGAACAACAAAATGCACGGGGTTGGAAATTCATCTTGGGAATACAAGTCAATGCTTCCTGTCTTGTAGATCTTTGTTGTTCTCATCCTGCTTTCTGCTGGGCTTGCCATTGGCCATGCATATTGGGAAGCACAAGTTGGCAATTACTCTTGGTATCTCTATGATGGAAAAAATGCCACTCCCTCCTACCGCGGATTCCTGAATTTCTGGGGCTATCTCATCGTTCTGAACACCATGGTGCCCATATCTCTCTATGTCAGGTAAGGCTGTCCTCTTCTTGACCTCTTGCTTTCAGGGAAGATTATAGTATTTTGTCCCAGTTTAGCACCTTCCAGTCCAGCAGTAATTGTTTCAAAGGTCAAAAGGAACAAGAAAATAACTTCTATTTCAAAACTGAATGTAAGCCAGGGGAAGAAAATGAACCTTTGAGTATCTACTCTGTGCCAGGCACCTGCTATTTAGTCTCTTTGCAGATAAGGCCCTGGTGTTCTGGGGTCAAAGGCCACAATCATTTACTTGGTAAGATTTCTTCTCAGTGTGTTCCAAGTCTCAGGAGTCAAAAAGAGCCAGGGAGAAGGTGAAGATTTAAAATGTCATGGAAAAACTTACTTTTCCCCTTTGGGATCCTTCCTACCCTCTTAGCTGAGCCTGGCTTATTACCATCTGCCATGCCAATGTTTGCTTGTCACAGTTACGGCCTTTCTGCCACTACCTCCTGGTGGGAAGGTCTTTGCCTTCCTCCAGTCTCTCACAAGGTTCTGACGTTCATCTCATTGTCAATCTCAGCTACAACAGAGGATCAAAGTCATATCTCTGACCAATGTCAGTCACCTTGTTTGGAGATATTTCTTCCTTTTCCTCCTTCTTCTTTCTTTGATGTTAGAGTTCACTGTCACAGGCCAATTGGATTTTAGGCCTTTGAGGGAAGAACTGTGCCTTGGAATATACTCTGCAGTCAAAGGCAGCTCTTAGTTCCAGTAAATAATAGTCCAGAGGCACATGGGATCCCCCCCTACACACATACACTCCTGTAATTACACACACACACCTGTAATTAGAAGCTTTTCTTTTAATTTTATTATATGAACACTTGTTTTGTTGTTAATTTTATTACATGTAGTTACTGTTGTTCTACTGATAGGAAATAATCCCTGGGGCAGTCATCTGTCCCACAGGTACTTTAAAGATTAAAAAAGACTAAAATGAGCATTCCCCTCATTAAGAGAACTATTATACAGATTATTTTGTATAAAACTATCAATGTATGCTATAAAATAAATTATACTGCATGGAATTTGGGGTGAAAAAGTTATACCACGTGATTAATGCAGTTCTTTATGTCTCTTGGATATTAATAAAAGTTTTTTTTTAAGCATAAGTCATATTAAATCATTCTAGAGAGTATCTCTGCTTTGTCTTCCACCTCATGAGCACTTTGCATCTCATTCGGAATAGAATTATCAAGGACACAGTATCACCTCCAAGATCTGGCAGGATCTGCCTACACCTCAAGGCCCCTGCCACTCCGGGTCCCTTGATGTTCCTTCTACCTTAGGATCTTTGTCCCTACTCTTAGCTCTGCCTGGAACATTCTTCTCTAGATAGCTATATCCTGCTATTTCATTTTCTTCAGGCCTTTGCTCAGAGGTCACCTTATCACCCAGCCCGACCCAAGCCACCTGATCTTAACCATTGCTTCTCTTCTCCCTTGGTTTCCATCTCCCCTTTCCCTGCTTTGAATTTCTACAGAGAACTTTTAGCACCTGAGAGAATGGATATTTATTAGAATTTTTAATCTAATAGGTAACCTGCTTAATGGCAGGGATTTCATCTGTCTTGTTTACTCATATATACTCTGTAGTTTACATAGTAGGACATATTTATGAAATGGAGAGAGGGAAGGTAAGTCATTTTCTGTCTTTTAAATCTGTTATAAAAGCATCCATTGCCACTTGACAATTTCTACATATGTAAATAGCTTCCTTATTACTGAATTATTCTATATTGGCTTGGTTTGGATTTTTTGGTACTGGGGATGAAACCCAGGGACTCACACATGCTAGGCAAGTGCTGTACCACTGAGCTATATTCCCAGCCCCTTATAGTTTTAAAATTAAGAAGATCTTTTTATAATATCTTCTTTTGGACATTCTGTAATCTTGTAAGATAGAAAAAAATATATACTTTTTCCACAATGAGGGGTAACAATTTAGGGGTTATCTGCCCAAAGACCATTGCCCTATTTGAGAACATCTGGCAGTCTGTCTCCTAGTGTGCCCTTACCTCCTTGGGAGTGAAGATCAACACAGCCATCCCAGTTGTCCCTGAGTGCAACAGGGAACGAGATGGAAGAGAGAAGAGATGTCCATGCCTGTGGCACTGTCTGCAGGGTCACCTTGTTGCCCATTTCTTTGGGCTGTGTTCTGAACATGGAACTCCATGGCCTGATGTGCAGGAGTGAGAGGGAAGTCACACTGAGCAAGTTGTTTGGAAGAGCACTATTATTCTAAACCCGTCTTGACTCTGAAGCTGGAGTATGACATGTATGGTCAGGAGAGTCCAGAGGCTGGGCATACGGGCCACAGAATGGCTTATGTCCTGGAAGATGTTATAAAAACACAGGTTTTTTAAAAATTAATATAATGTAATACCTTACACCAAGTAACTTTTTGGGGACGTGGTTGTAATGAGTCAGGTATTGTTGTGTAGCCCAGGTTGGGCTCAAACTTATGATCCTTCTGCTTTAGCCTCCCAAGTGCTGGGGTTGTAGGCCTGTACCACTACACCTGGCTTTAAACCAAGTAATTTATAGACAATAGAAATATATAGCTCACAGTTCTGGAGGCTGGGAAGTCTAAGGTCAAAGGCCAGCATATTTGGTGTCTGGTGAAGACTCACTCCCTGCTTCATAGATGGCAAATTCTTTCTGAATCTTCACATGGCAAAACGGGCAAACAAGCTCCATTAGGTCTCTTTCATAAGGATGCTAACCCTATTCATGAGGGTTCTGCTCTCAGACCTAACTACTTCTGAAAGGCCCAACCTCAGTACAGTTGCACTGGGGATTAGGTTTCAACATATGGGTTGTGGTCGGGGTGGGGGGCACTAATGTTCAGTCTGTAGCAAGTGAGGATAAAATCCACTGCCTGCCACTCACATCGAAGTGCTCCATATAATGTAATCTTTTGTCTTCATAGTGTGGAAATAATTCGTTTGGGACAGAGTCACTTCATTAACTGGGACCTGCAGATGTACTACACTGAGAAGGATACACCTGCAAAGGCTAGGACCACTACGCTAAATGAGCAGCTTGGGCAGATCCATTACATCTTCTCTGATAAGACGGGGACACTCACACAAAATATCATGACCTTTAAAAAGTGCTGCATCAATGGGCAAATCTATGGTGAGTGTGAGTACAAGAGAGTGAAAAGGCAAACCCTATCCCATTCACAAGTGGATTGCAAACTTGGATAATCTTTTCCTTGAAATAATGTCTGAGATATGCTTTTGTTGACTAGACTCATATATTTAAAATAAAAAGGATGGTTGGGTGTTGAATTAGGGTAGAAGAATCATTCCTCTGGTGCTGCCTGGAGCTGAGCCTGCCTTCCAAGAATGTCTAGTGCCCTACTGGGTGGAATCCCTGCTGCTGTGGGCTTTCCCAGCCAAGCCGTAATGGAGGACTGTGAACACTGTTGGGAAGACCTGTGTAACAAAATTAACAGTCGGAAATAGGCATACCTCTCTCCACTTAAAAATTGAATTACCATATGTTCTAGCAATTCCAATTCTAGGAGTATACTTTACTCGCAGAATTGAAAATGAGAACCCCAAAGGATATGTGTACAGCCATGTTCACAGCAGTATTTTTCACCATAGCCAAAAGGTGGAAATAACCAAATGTCCATGAAGAGAGGAATGGATAAGCAAAATATGATACATAAAAACAAAGGAATCTTATTAAACCTTAAAAGAAAGGAAATTCTGACCCATGCTATAACATGGATGGACCCCCCAGGGCATTATACTAAGTGAAATAACCCAATCACAAAAGTTTCAATTATACAAGATAAAAACAGTTCTGTGTTTAGATGGTGTTGGTAGTTTCACAACAATGTGAATGTACTTCATGCTGCTGGTTTGTACACTTTATAATGACTGTAATAGCTAATTTTATATTTTGTGTGATTCACAATTTTTTTAAAAGTTGATTTCCATTCTCATTTTCCAAAACACAGCTTATGCTTACCAATAATACTAAGACTAATACTGTATTGAAATAGAGTGCTCTAACTTTTAAATAAAGACAACATGGTTGTGTTTTTTTAAAAGGATACATGCATATTCTTTCCACTTAGAGAAAACTTTTTTCTCTGAATGTGTTTTCACATCAGTGAGGAAGATGGACACTAGGGGGGAAGAAGTGGTCCCATGAGTGGTGGCAGTCCCTTCTAGAAGAGTTAGGAAAGCATTTGAAAGCCCTCAATTCAGGTGCCAGTGGAGTACAGAGGGATGGGCACCAGTATGTGAACATCTAGACAAAGGGGCAGCAAACTTTTTCTGTGAAGAGCCAGATGGCAAATAGTTTAGCCTCTGCAGGCCATATATGATCTCTATCAAATATTCTTTATTTTTCCCAACTCTTGAAAAATGTGAAAACCACTGTTAACTCCAGAATCATCCAGATACAGGCCACGAGACCCACACTGCCACCAAGTATGCAAAGCCAGGTTGGAGGGGCCTCCAGACACAGGTGAAGACTCAATTTGGTTTGTCTTATTTGTTTCTCAGGAGACCATCGAGATGCTTCTCAACACAGTCACAGCAAAATAGAGGTGTGTTCTTCAACTTAAGGAACTGTTTGGGATATGTATTCATTTCCTAGAGCTGTCTTAACAAATTACTGCAAACTGGGTGCCTTAAAACAGCAGAAATTTGTTCTCTCACAGTTGTAGAGGCCAGGAGCCTGCAATCAAGGGTCAGTAGAGTTGTGATCCCTCTGAAAGTTCCAGGGAAGCATCCTTTCTTGCCTCCTCCTAGCTACTGGTGGCTGCCAGCAGTCCTTGGTGCTCTCTGGCTGGTTACAAGGCTCCAATGGTCACATGGTGTTCTCCCTATGTATTTTGTCTCTGTGTTCAAATTTCTCTCTATTATAAGGACCCCTGGCCTCCATCCTAATCCATTATGACCTCATCTCGATCGAATCTGCAAGGATCCCATTTCCAAATGAGGTCATGTTCACAGGACCCGGGGCTTTAGAACTTCAACGTATCTGTTGGGGGACACAATTCAACCAAGTGGAGGGCACTCTGCCATAAGACAGATATAAGCCTCTTAACACTTTAGTCAAGAATGTTCTCAAATTTTAAGATGAATTTTGTGTAATTAAAAACTTCAAAGGGAGGTTCATTCATATCAGTTGTTAATACAGAAGTATTTTTCTTAAATCATATTTCCTTCTCCACTTCTTTCAGCAAGTTGATTTTAGCTGGAATATATTTGCTGATGGGAAGCTTGCATTTTATGACCATTATCTTATTGAGCAAATCCAATCAGGGAAGGAGCCAGAAATCCGGCAGTTCTTCTTCTTGCTTGCAGTCTGCCACACAGTCATGGTGGACCGGACTGACGGTGAGTGTTTCTCTGGCATTGCAAACCTCGGAGGCCAGCTTTTCAGTTTGCAGGTGACTCTTATGACTCAGATGCATACCAAATAGTAGGCATGCTAAGTCTGTGTCACACTCACTCAAGCCATGAGTATTTGTGAGCACCTGCAACTAGATGGTACATGGAATAACAAAGCCTAAAACAAGATTTTCTCTGGAAGTTTAAAACCCATTCACAGCTGTAATCCTGGTTTTATCCCTTTGTAAATGCAATTTTATCATTAAAAGAAGTGGTTGGCTCTTGAATTATAATAGAAGACAAAAACTCTTTCTACTCTATGATACTTTATTGAAAATGTAAAAATCAGACCTTATCTGTATCACAAATGGACTTTAAACTTAATCATTTGTACAGTGATTTAAGATATTTGCTTTTATTGCTTAAATTCAGATATGTTTTGCTGGAAATTGTATCAGCCAAAGCCTCGGTCTCTTTAAGATGCTTTTCTCATTTGAAGGAGCATGATTAATGTGAATTTGCATGGGAAGAAGCAATGCTGAGATTTAGGTTCCTGGGCAGAATTTTTAAATCCCAATTTGTACCAGTTTTGTTACTGCAAATTCATCTGTAACAATGAAAACTAGTCATTTTATCACATATAGGCATAGTGAATTATATAGATACACGTGTGCATTATAGAAAGAACAGAGGGAATTCTTTTGATATAGCTATAATTAAACACAAACTGACTTCATTTACTCACTTCCTTCATCCACTTCATTCCATTCTTTACTGTTCTTGTTTGCTTTTATGGTCCTGGGGATTGAACCAAGGGCCTTTACACTGAGCTACATTTCCAGCTCCCCTTTTTGTTCTGAGACAAGGTCTCACCAAGTCACTGAGTTGCCAGGCTGGGCTTGAACTTGCGATCCTCCAATCCTGCTGTCTCAGCCACTCAGTGTGCTGTGATTATAGCCATGTACCACAATGTCTGGCTCATTCTTTCCTTTTTATGTCAGGCACTGAAGCACATAAAAATTCCCCTTGATGAGGTTCCAACCTTGATGTTTCATAAGTAATAGATAAGTCTCAGAGAAGGAATATTCATTAAAAAATTACATACGTAAAAGCTATATGTGATATCTTTCAGCAAGTTTCAAAGAAACCCATTCTCCAAGGATAACCTAATAATTCAATAAAGTGAGACTGCAGAGTTCAAACTAGGATGGATCCATGGGAGAGGCTGTTAACAGCAAAGAGGGGAAGGATGGAAAGGGATGATACCAGCTCACAAACTGCCAAGGCAGAAGTCAAAGTCTTTTTGACCAGCCCAGCAAATTTTACTTGTAGAATAAAAACTATGATATTTTAAAGCATCTTGGTTTGTTTGGATTCATTAGTAAAATTATTCTTTTTACCTTTAAGTGTATGGTGGTATTTTGAGAGTTAAATGGCCAACTTATGAAAATGTACATACCATTTTTAGATGGGTGTGGCGGCACACACCTGTCATCCAGCACTCTGGGAGTCTGAGGCAGGAGAATTGCTAGTTAGAGCCCAGCCTGGGCAACTTATCAAGATGCTGTCTCAAAAGTAAAAAATAAGAAAGGGGCTGAGGATGGTGGGTTCTATCCTGGGCAGGAAGGGGAGGAGGAATTATATACAGTATACCATGTCTGTTTTACTTTTTCCCCATTAAAATATTAATAACAAAGCCCTGGACTGTGTGCTGGAGGAGCACCAGCTTCCTCAGTGCTGCAGTAAAAAGGCTGGATGTTCAAAGTCCCTTCTAGCATCACATTCTGCAGGTCTTTGTCTCACTGTCAGCTGAGGTGAAGGGTTAACATCCCAAGGAATCTTTCTTTACCCAGTAAATGATAAGCATCCACTCAATGATAAACGATAAGCAGTTGCTCCAGCTACTGAGAATTCCTTGGCACAAGGGAAATTGGTTGGCACAGGTGGTTAGATAAGAAATTGGCTCGATTTTTGATCCACAAAGAACCATAAATGACTCCCTAGGAAGGGACTTCAGAGACCACACATCTCCAATTTTAGAGATAAGGAAATCTAGACTCAGAAAGTGCAAGGGACTTGCCTGAGGTCATTCAGCAGGTGCAAACTTATCCTAGTACAGCCCCTCATCATGTGGCTGGCCCTTCACGTAAGATCCTGTTTTCTTTTTTAAGAATAATGAAGATTGAGGGTTCTTTCTGTATTGTGCATAACATCATCAAGAGAGAGGACATCCTTTCATATATGTGGCCATCAACATCTGACCTTAACAGGTGATTTGTGTGGCCTGAATGTTGAATACCTAAAGAGATCATAATGGAGAGTCCACATTAGTTTCCTATTACTTTGGGATCAATACAATTCAGACACTTGAGACACCTGCGTATTAGCTCATGGTTCTGTAGGTCAGAAGTCTGGGCATGGCATAACTGGGCTCTCTGCTCAGCATCTCACTAATGCCAAAGTCAGATCATGTGCTCATCTGGAGCCCAGTGTCTTCCAAGTTCATATGGTTAGGGTAGGATTCAGTGCCCTGTGATTGAAAGGCTGTGGTCCCCATTTCCCCATGGACTGTCAGCTAGGTTTGGTTGCTCCTGTAGGTCGGCCTCAATGCTTACCAATTGGTTCCCTCCATCTTCAATCCCAGGGGTAGAGAATCTCTCTTAAATTAAACCCCTTCTCCCTCCACAGAGCCTGACTCCTTTTAGGGGCTTACCTAAGTAGGTGCAGAACACCTGGATAATGTCCCTATTTTAAGATCACCTGATTAGGACCTAAATTGAATCTGCAAAATCCCCTCATAGAAGCACATAGGTTTGTGCTTCCATAACGGGCAGAAGGTGAACATATGATATATAGGTGGGAACCTTGGGACCACTGAGACTCCTGCTCTTACAGAAGCCATAGAAGCACCGAGCATGGGAGGCTTGGGGGCCTTTCTTTCCCTTGGAGGTCTTTAGCCAGTGGTCAGAAAGCTCAATTTACAATGCCTCAGCCTCACACTGGGTATAATATCCTTCAGCAGAGAGACAAGGGGTTGGTGTGGAGGCCCAGGGAGGGATTAGGGTGAGATCTTTGGGGGGAATGAGAAAGCAACAAATGTGGGAGACATATGGTAAAGATTTGAAGGTGGTTAAGGTGATTGAGGGGAAAGAGAAATCTGAAAGGCAACTGGTTTGAAAGCTGGTGAAAGGAAGATCTGACATGCTATAATCAGCCAGAAGCAGCTAGGGAATTTGAATAGAGACAAAAGGTGGCATTTGTGGTTGGAGTATCTTTTTTTGTTTGCGTCAATTTTATGAAACAAAGATTAGTCTGTAAAAATGGTCTTTCTGGTTGCCTCTAAGGGTGTGGTACATGAAGAATTTTCTTCAAAGGGTTATTATTCCAAGTGTCTTCCTACAAAGTTGAGATTTGGACCAAGTCTCTGAGGTTTTTTTCTTCTCTATTAGTCTGCAAGTCTGTGATTCTATTACCAGAAGGTAGTGGAATGATTTTCCTTTTCCTTTAATGATACAAATATCAAGTTGTTGGCTTCAAATAGGATTGTCCCACTTGTAGAAATGTTACCACCTTTCATTATTTTGTTTCTTTTCTCTGTTGGAAATAAGCTTGCTGTTAATATTATGTAAGGTATCACAGTGCCAACTAAAATTGTGAAGGGAGATGCTTTGTTCTCACTGCTGCTTACTTAGCTCTGGGTAAACACCTTGCCCTCTGGCAGTAGTGTATGTTTATGGAATGGCCAGATTTAGCAAGGACATTTATGCTTTCTGGGTGAACAAATAGAAAGCAAGCCTATAGTGTCATCATTAATTACTAATTGGGAGTGCTTAGTCTGAGCCAGCACAAGAAGGAGGGAGAGCGAGAAGGGGTGTTTAGTTCTACCTATAACCATTTACCTGGGAGTTTCCTACTCATCCAAATAGATGAAAGTGTGAAAAGCTGCCCGTGTAACCTGGTCATACCCATGATGGAAAACCCTTTTCTACAAAAATTCATCTGGATATGGAAATACTTTCCTTTCTATTCTGAGACAGAATAACTTGGGCAGAAAATAGAGAATCTGGGTTGGGCAAAGTAGGTTTTTAACTTTTATTGCAATATAACATGCAAAGACATGTACATATCATAACTATACAGCTCAATAAATAGACCTTTATAATGAGTACTCATCTATAAAAGAAAGCCAACAGCCTGGAATATGCCTAGAATCCCACCACTGAGAGGCTGAGGCAAGAGGGTGGCAAGTCTGAGGCTGTCATGATTACTTAGCAAGTCTGACTCAAAAGAAGAATTTTTTCCTCAATCTCCATTACTGAAAAAAAAAATATCACGAAAGAAAGTAAAACGTGCTATCAATTCCCCCAAAAGCCTCTTTTGTGTTCTCTCTCCTTACTCTCCATCCAGAAAAACTCTCCTGGCTTTGGATGTGGGTTAGTTTTGCCCATGTTTTAAGCTGTATGAGTGGAATCCTGTAGAACATGTATTCTTTGGTGTCTGGTTTCTTTCACTCCAGATTATGGGATTTATTTTCATTGAAGTGTAGCTATGCATAGAAGGTAATTTTCTTTCTATTATTTAACTTTTAAAAATCAAGATACTAGGGCCAGGGGTGTAGCTCAGTGGTAGAAGGCTTGCCTAGCATGCACAAGGGCCTGAACCACAAAAAGAAAATCAAGATATTGATCAGACTGACAAAGTTGCATTGTTTTCTAGTGAGAAAATAGCTGTGGTAAAGTAAACATACTCTTCTAGAGGTAAGATAAACGGATATGATCCTTTTGGAAAACAAAAGTAGAAATATATAGCACCAGGCTTAAAAGTGATCAGTGTAGGGCTGAGGGTGTAGCTGAGGGTATAGTACAGCACGAATTTAGCACGTACAAGACCCTGGTTTCCATCCCTGGTCCCACAAACAAACAAACAGTATTTTACTGTTAGGAGACTGTCCTTGAAAAAATCTTTTTTTTTTCCCCAGTTTTTTGAGACAGAGTCTCACTATGTAAGCTAGGGTGGCCTTAAGCTCATTTTGTAGCCCAGGCTGGCCTCAAACTCACAGTGATCCTCCTGCCTCAGCCTCCCAAGCGTTGAGAATACAGGCATGAACCATCACACCAGGCTAGAAAAAAATCTTTATACTAACAGAAAGGCTATTATAATGTTATTTTTTGAGATCCAAACTTTTGGAAGTAAATTAAGTGCCTATAAAGGAAATGATAACATGTTTACATTGATTTAAATAGTATTTATGAAGAATCTTTAAAGATATGGTAACATGTTCAAAATATAATGTTAAGATAATCCAGATGGAAACAGCTACTCAGCATGACAGAAACTATTCCAAAAACAGGCATTTTAAAAAGGATTGAAAGGAATGAAAAAATGGTATAACCTGTGGATAGTGGGATTTTATGAGAACTTCCCTATTCTGACTAGTTGTTTTATTTCTAGTTTCTATTACCATTTATAATTCAAAATAAAAGTTCAATGTGTAAGAAGCTTTATTTTGGCATAGCCCTTAAGGGTCAGTGGCTAGTTTTTGGGGGGATGTGGTGAGCTTTGCAGAGGATCCCAAGTAGAGAACCTGGGCAGGCACTCTGTGTTTAGTTTCACAGCTTTTCTGGGATTTCTCTCCTGCTTTCCTTGTTAGGTCAGATCAACTACCAGGCAGCCTCGCCTGATGAAGGTGCCCTGGTAAATGCCGCAAGGAATTTTGGCTTTGCCTTTCTCGCCAGGACACAGAACACCATCACCATCAGTGAACTGGGCATTCAAAGGACCTACAATGTTCTTGCCATTTTAGACTTCAACAGTGACCGGAAGCGAATGTCTATAATAGGTAGGTCTTCCTCAGACTCTGTGGCTCATTCAGTTCAATGTTGCTTTTCACTCATTTTATCTAGCAATGCCAGGATAAAGCAGGTAATGAATAGACTGTTCAGCTCCTGAAGGCTGCCCAAAGACTTAAGAGAAATTGGTGGTATTTTTCTTTAACTCTTTTCTTCACCATCTCCGCCGCACGAAGGGACATTCTGGACTATCAGAATCCTACAAATGCTGTGGACATTCTCCACCATAGAGGCCTCCAGCTGCTAAAATGCAACTTGCCCTAGCAGCTAGCTGTGGACAGCCTGCAGTGCAGCCCATGGCATGTGCTTTTTTCCCCCTTCCTAGTACTTATCTTCTATACGTGATACCAGGAGGGAGGACTCAGCAGGAGAGAAGTGAGAAAAAGGAGGCTGGGCTTATGGATCAAAATTGTAACTTTAGTCCAAGCCCTTAACCACAGGCCATCGAGTGGAGATGAAGATAACTTCATAATAATGAAGTTATTTTATTTTCAGTTGGTAATTTGAAATAATTTAAAATGTATGGGAAAATTGCAAGGATGGTTTAAAGGACTT